AGAGCTGATAAGATCAAAAAATATAAGACTATCGGTTAGTATAAGAGTGGAGAGTTCGTTGTAATTCCCCATCAGTTAGATGTTGAGATAACGGAAAGGCACCTTAAAGATGCTTCCCTTTATCGTCCGTCGTCTGAGAAAGTCAATAACGAAAGTTAAACAACGAATGGGTCAAAGTGGCAAGAGCGGGTGGGTTAAAACCATCAGTCATCTCTCATTTCAAAATTGACTTACCAACATGTCCCGTTCTGTACTTACTTATCAAAACCCATGAGTTAGTATCCAGCGATGATCTCATGTTTACCGATCCATCATTATTTAAGGTTAGACCTATCATTAGCTGCGTGGACGGGTCAACGGATAGAATAACGTGGTTAATAACTCTAATACTTACTCAGTTGTTGAAGTAGATTAAAGCTCATCTAGCGAACACCCAAATGTTCCTGGATCGTCTACGTAACGCGCGACCCAACAGCGCGTACGTGGTGGTGAAGTCTTTCGACTCACTACCCTCTATACGAACGTGTCGAATAACTCCGCATGCAAGCCATCGGTGAGCTCCTTATACAACACGAAGAAGCAATAAACATGTACGGCTTTTCGATTCAGCAGTTGATGACACTCTTAAAGGAGTGCCTAAACTGCTCGATCTTCAGACGGTCCGGGAGGTTTTACGCACAAATGAGAGGGCTGGCAATGGGACAACGATTGGCACCAAGCCTTGCCATTGCATTCATGTCTAAGGTGGAGGTGCCAATAATCGACCTCAGTCCGTTACTCTACTGTAGATATATAGATGACTGCTTGGTCATTTGTTCAACGCAAGAAGAAATCGACAGATGTTTCGAGTTGTTGAACACACAGTTAGAGTATATTAAATTCACCCGAGAGAAACCAAAAGAAGACTGGTTTCCATTTCTGAACGTGAAAATTAGCCTATCAGAATACGGCTACATTACGAAGTGGTATCGAAAGCCAAGTAGTGAAAACATCCTAGTTCATTACCTCTCCTCTCATCACTGTCACACGAAAAGGGCGCTTGTGAGAAACATGTATCGAACAGCTACCAGCGTGTGCACAGGAAGACAACAGAGAGAAGAGTCCCGGAACTTGGCGCGGAAAATAGCCATTTTTAATGGCTACGAAACCGTAGCTCGAGATAGGTGTAGGGAAAACCACAAGCACTCCAACGATAACTCTAGCGACAACAAGGTCTCGTATATACTGCCCTTCATTTCAAGCGAAGTAAGTGCAGCTATAAAACGCTGTTTAAGAAGGGCCAGTCTAGAGAATTCGGTAACGATAATCGAAATACCACCGAGTAATCTAAAGCGCCAGCTAGTTCGTAACCGCCTATACGACCGTCTATGTGCAACGCAAAATAGCATAATATGCCCCAATGGTAGAGACGGTGACTGCATGAGTTCGGGTACAGTCTATCTGATCTCTTGTAAGGCGTGCGGGGACGAATACGCTGGCGAAACGAGTAGACCACTCTGCGTACGTATAAAAGAACACCTAGTCGGCAAACGTAAGCCAAGTACTCCACTAGGTACACATAGCACGCAGAAACATAACGAAGAAGATTTTGAAGTAAGGGTTACGATCCTCGCGCAAGAATCGAGATACAAGCGCACAAAACTCTAGAGGCATTCTGGATTAATTCCAAGAATCCGAAAATGAACCGCAGGGAGGAATGCCTCGTTATCACGCGTGATATTGGACAGTATATAAGCCTGTTATTCTGATGGGAGGNTAGCTGAGAGACGGAAAGATCCGCATGGTGCGGTGGTGAACGCGATAGCCCTCGGAAAAAGAAATAGCGCGTTCGTTCCCCTCCGCAGACACCTGTGGTCCGGAGTTTTGCGAAAAAGTGGATAACATTGTGAAATGCCGAAATAACTGCGCTTGAGCTTTCTTAGGTGGGAGTACAGAAGAGTTGGCTTTTGCTAGGCAAGGGTGGTCCCAACTCTAAGAGGAAAAGCGGTTTGATGGGCTCCGAGCGGGCTCTTATTAAGACATGGGTATTTTGGCTTGTTCTCCTAACGAATAGGACTACCGCTGCACCATCCGCAGCAAATACATAGAAGCAAAAAGTTCGTCATTCAAATCTACTTCTAGGAAATATCTGTTCTCCATGGTTTTTCACCTACCTTTTATTTGACAATAGGATTCGCTATTTAATATACAGCGACTGATCGGTTTCGAATCAATGGCATGAAGTGATCTGTGATTAATTACAATAACCAATGAAGAAAAGGTTGACCAGCACATTCACTAAAAAGTTGTTCACCGACTTAAGGCGTATGTAAGAAATGGGAATGGATGTGGCTAACTGTCATTCACCTCTATGACTCCCATTAGAGTCAAGTGCTCGTCGCATCCCATTTTGAGCCTTATGATGATCTATTTTAACCCTGTCTTTTTTTGCTTTTGTGGTGACCGCAGTCATTATCCCGATGAAATGACTACTTTCTAATGCTCATCACTTTACGGTTTACCATGCCATCAACTGTTTCAACAACCCCAGAGAAATCTCAATCTCACAACACGTCGCGAAATAATTGTCAGTGGTCCAAGCATAAGGTGTAAAGGCATAAATGTGTTACATAAGGCATATGACAGAAAAATAAAGTTTTGTTGCGTTTAAAATAAGGAACGTAATGAATGATGGGATATGGGATAATGTGGAAAGTCTAGTCGTATGAGAAAATCAAGTATCAATAAGAATATCAGTTATTACATCAAAAATAGACGTTCTACGACAATCGTTCGAGCCAATCACTCGATTTGCTGTGACAACGACAGGTGTGAATTATTTCATACACATATTTGGGTGTTTTTAGTGACGCTGAATCGATATGCCGCTGTCTTCTATCCGAGCAACCAGAACTACGTGAGCAGTACAAGCAGAGCCTTTTTGCTTTACGCATTCCATCACACTTTTATTGAAATCAATGGAAGACGAACTTGGTAGAGCTCTCTATAGTTGGTGCACTTTACTGCTTTCACAGTATGACGTTACCTTCGCCTATTTGAAGTCCTTGTTCGGTCAACTGTATCGCCTATTGTCCCGATTGTCCCGTTCAACGTCGAGTGATTCGAACGGGTGCCAGTAGCTCTTCCGTTTTTCTCTGTCACTTAGAAGAGTAGCCCAATGACTTCAGACTGCTCCAAAGATTCGTTAAGCAACATGTCTTTCTTCTAGGATTTTCGTGAGCAACTATGACTATCGGCTTTGTGGTCTCCCTGCAGCCGACGTATCTGGTCGCTAACTGCTCTTGTCCACCGATTATCGTTCGTATGCGGTTCCGCCTTTTTCAAAACTTGGAAGGCCAAGTTCACATGAGATGTGCTCATCCAAACACTGGCACATAGATTTGCATTAGCATTATAAACAGCCGGTGTTGGGAATTGCTACATGAAGTGTCAGCAGAACATTTCCGACTTGTAAGGGAAGTCCCGTCACTAAGACAGAAAATTGTCTTCGCTAGACAAACGATATTCTTTCTCCGTCGCTGCCTGAAACAACGTCGTGCCGAACTTCACCAAACGAAAGCGCCTACGCGATGTATGCGACCTACTAAAGGCAGTCAACAAGTACCTGGACATGGAAACGCAACTACTACGTGCCTCTCTTCGATGCAAACAATACAACATGTACGCGCAATTGAAGAATTGCGAGGTCGAAGGAATCTCGTTGTGTTCAGTATTTAGAGGATTCCCTTTGGAGGAGAATAGTGGGTGGGTCAATTTTGATTTTCGATTCTATTAAGTCGAATGCCAAAGTAGTCTTAAGTAGAAAATTTGAAATTTACTCAACCATTTGCGAAATGCTGCTTCAATTGAACAAAGCAAAAACTTTTATGAAAGTGTTACCAGTGAAAATGTGGTCGACAACGTGCCAGAAAAGTCAAGGATCATCGTGCTAGGAGGCATAACACTTCCCTACTATCGTGCTCGCCATTAAAATTGGGTCCAAGTTTTTCACCACGCAACGCATTTATACAGAAACTTTCCGTGGGATCGCATGCAGTCTGAACGAGCTTCGAGATCGATTTCGCAGCAACGCTAGAATTGAAACACGAAATGAAAATGAACAACGAGAAATAGAGGCATTACCACCACCTCCTTTTCCTCAACCGTTCCTTAGACAACAAGACGCCAACGACGAAATAAATAACAAATTTCGCATATTTTCGAAAGATATTTTCAAAATCCTTAACCACTATCGCGTGAGAAAGTTTATTTCTAACCTTAGAGCCAGCCAGTTTTTTTTCGGTTTCTCTAGAGTAAACTTTGTGTACTCTAACTATTCGTTCAACAACTCAAAGTAGTACCTGTATATCTCCTCTTATGTGGAGCAGATGACAAGACAATCATATAATATACCTACAGTAGATTAATGGGCGGAGATCGATTACTGGTGCTTCCACCTTAGGCATAAAGGCAATGGCAAGTGTTGCTGCCAGTCGCTGTTTGCTAACTCTTTCGCTTAAGCGTAATATTTCCGGGACCATCTTAAGATCGGGCAGTTTGAGAGCACCTTTAGAAAGGCCACGAACTGCGGAATCGAGAAGCCATACACGTTTATTATCCTCTCGTGGTGGTTAAGAAGCTCGTGGATGGCTTGCATTGCGGAATCATTCAACGCGCAAGCATAAAAAGCTGTAACGTGGAAGGACTCTATCACTTATGCATTGTAAGGGCGCGTGTTACCTAGACGATCACGAACATTTGGATAACCGAGAAATATACGTGATAATAAAAGCTGAAAAAATTTTGTTCTTCGTTTTCTCAATTTAGCGGCTTTTTCCACTTTCCGCGAGAACCGAAATCTTGAAAAGAGAGGTGATTGTCTGGCCTTATGTAGAATTTTGAGACAACAACTACATAAATTAGCCAATATCACAGATTTACTACGATGTGGTCTACTTCGCTATGGTGATCTGAATTGGGAGACTCTCAGTGTCTAGCGTTGAATGCGGCCCCTGGAATGGTCAGTTACCGTGCATGGCCTTAGACGACGTTTCCAACTCGGACGGCCGTTCACCCTGCTCATCCCATTCTAAACCGTAGGTCTCAATGCGACCTTCTACAAACCCATGTCTGGGCCGAAAATTTGCTTCAAATCCTGCAGTAATGTCCTTAAAGAATGTATAGTCTTCTCTATAGAACTTCGCCAACCATGCCTCTATAACGCTACACTTTCTGTTTGTCATAGCTTAGTGTACGCTTCGCAGTAAACTGGTGGGTATCAACTTATGTTGGCCCCTAAGTATTAAGGTGTCCCCGGATCTCCGAAATCTCATTGAAGAGATATCCTCCATTTTGTATGCTTCGCTTTTCATTTACGACGTTTAACGCATGTGGGACGTCTACTAGCGTTCCTGTGCTCTGGCGATGTGTTTTACTCAAATTCTTTCCTTCAACATCTTGCGGACGTGATAGGCTTTAAGGACATCTTTTGATACTATTTCTTCACGCTGAAATCTGCTGATTTTAATTATTAACCATAGAATGATGCCTACATTACCACTTTCCACTTCACCCTCTCCTTTACTTCCTTACTTGTATTGTTTGCCTCTACTTTACTTCTTCACGCCTGAGCGACGTCTTTCTTTTACAGTTCTCCCAAACATGGCTCCACAGAGCACGCAAACCTTTTCTTAGCGACAAGATGTCGCCGAATTCTACGCCATTCTCTGTAGTAACAGTAACACACCTGAACTCTTTGTCCTCTGATTTTTTGCTTTTGGCAGTAGTAACTCACCAAATTAGCATTACGTGTGTGAAAGACTTGGAGAGTCACTCATTGAAATTTCATACTCTTAATGTTACTGTAGAAAAGAGCGTAAACTTCATTGACATCTGGTCGCTATAAAAACATTTACGTGCTCTGTAGAGCCGTGTTTGGGAGAACTGTTAAAGAAAGACATCGCTCAGGCGTGAAGAAGTAAAGTAGAGGCAGACAATACAAGTAAGGAAGTAAAGGGGAGAGTGAAGTAGAAAGTGGTAATGTAGGCATCATTCTATGGTCAATAATTGAAATCAGCAGATTTCAGCGTGATGAAATAACATCGAAAGATGTCCTTTAAGCCCATCACGTCTACAAGATGTTGAAGGTAAGAATTTGAGTAAGACACATCGCCAAAGCACGAGAACGTTAGTAGACGTCTCACATGCATTAGACGTTGCGAATGAAAAGCGAAGCGTGCAAAAAAGAGGCCAATCTCTTCTGTATGACTTCGGAGATCCTGGAACGCCTTAACACTTAGGGACTAGCATAAGTTGATACCACTAGTATGGTGCAAAACAGACACCAAGCTATGATGAACACAAAATCGTCCCGTATTATTATTATTGTTCTTATTATTAGTATTAATTATTGTCATATTATTATTTTATAGGCAGGGTTGGCGAACTCCTACAGGTAAAACGATACAATCTTTAAGGACATCAATTGATTATTTGAAGCAAAATTTGGGCCCAGAAACAGGTCTGAAGAAGGTCGCATTGATACCTACGGATTAGAATGGAATTAGCAGGGTGAACGGCCGTCCGAGTTAGAAACGTCGTCCAAGGCCATGCACGGTAACTGACCATCCCAGAAGCTGCATTCAACGCTAGACGGTGAGAGTCTCCCAATTCAGATCACCATAGCGAAGTAGACCACATCGTAATAATTCTATGATTCTAACAAATTGATGTAGCCGTTGTCCCAAAATCCTAGACCAGGCCAGACAGTCTCCTCACCTTTCAAGATTTTGGTTCTCGCGGAAAGTGGGAAAAACCAGTAAATTGAGAAAACGAAGTCTCGAAACCACGAAGAATAAAGCTTAGTCCGCTCTTTAGTCGGCTGTTGGGACATGGCGTTCTTGAGAAGATCGGCGAAGAATACAATCGGCTCACTCAACATCTTCATATGAAAGGATAGGATAGATGAGTTATCCAGGTGACCCTATGGCGACAGTTGTGAAGAGAATTATTTCATTATATATTAGATGACCGATGGGCTGCAATGTATAGCATGTATAGCGGGAGGATTCATCCCCCGGCAGAGTCTCAAGCTGACAAGGAGTTCGGCGTTTCCATCAGAAAGCTTAGTTACGAGTTAGGGAGCCACACTCCACAGTGGCTAAACCAGCAAAACTCCGAAAAATGGAGATTATGATGGACCCACAAAACCAGTGAGAGGGAGTTGTCAAAGTGTCCATATTAACTGACCAAGGTATGGAAGAGAAAAACAGCACATAAAAAGGTTAATATTGTGATTTCAGCTGTAGCCTCACCATAACTGGGTTCAATCCCGATTAGCGCTCCCAGATCAATCCCATTAAGAGGTGATTCCTCATGGCATTAGTCGATAGAACTAGCTGAGAGACGGAAAGATCCGCATGGTGCGGTGGTGAACGCGATAGCCCTCGGAAAAAGAAATAGCGCGTTCGTTCCCCTCCGCAGACACCTGTGGTCCGGAGTTTTGCGAAAAAGTGGATAACATTGTGAAATGCCGAAATAACTGCGCTTGAGCTTTCTTAGGTGGGAGTACAGAAGAGTTGGCTTTTGCTAGGCAAGGGTGGTCCCAACTCTAAGAGGAAAAGCGGTTTGATGGGCTCCGAGCGGGCTCTTATTAAGACATGGGTATTTTGGCTTGTTCTCCTAACGAATAGGACTACCGCTGCACCATCCGCAGCAAATACATAGAAGCAAAAAGTTCGTCATTCAAATCTACTTCTAGGAAATATCTGTTCTCCATGGTTTTTCACCTACCTTTTATTTGACAATAGGATTCGCCATTTAATATACAGCGACTGATCGGTTTCGAATCAATGGCATGAAGTGATCTGTGATTAATTACAATAACCAATGAAGAAAAGGTTGACCAGCACATTCACTAAAAAGTTGTTCACCGACTTAAGGCGTATGTAGGAAATGGGAATGGATGTGGCTAACTGTCATTCACCTCTATGACTCCTATTAGAGTCAAGTGCTCGTCGCATCCCATTTTGAGCCTTATGATGATCTATTTTAACCCTGTCTTTTTTTGCTTTTGTGGTGACCGCAGTCATTATCCCGATGAAATGACTACTTTCTAATGCTCATCACTTTACGGTTTACCATGCCATCAACTGTTTCAACAACCCCAGAGAAATCTCAATCTCACAACACGTCGCGAAATAATTGTCAGTGGTCCAAGCATAAGGTGTAAAGGCATAAATGTGTTACATAAGGCATATGACAGAAAAATAAAGTTTTGTTGCGTTTAAAATAAGGAACGTAATGAATGATGGGATATGGTTCGAAAGGAAATGACATCAGCTTCCTTCTCAGTCGAGGTTCGGACCGAAAAGGTGCTAAATAGTTCTATTCCTTTTTAGGCTTCAGTTAAGCCCGTGGTGAAAACCACCAAAACGAAATTAATTTAACGACGTTTTAAAAAAAGCGGTGTTTTTTCGGAATCGAATTTACTTCTGAATTGGCTGCGTTCCGGTAAGTTTCAGCTCTGGTTCGCAGGCTCATCTTCACAACATGACCCCCATTCAACTACTCAACCTGCCTTCCTCTTCTTGATTACTGCAGATGACTAGTGTTTGAAAAACTCAGAAGAGGCGTTCTTACATTGCTTTTTCTTCGGAAGGTTGGCCCACACACGCATGCACTCACAGTGTTATTTAATATTGTACATGGTCAGTGCATGAGAAGCCTAGAATATTTTCTCTTCCCTTTTGTTCTCCCGGCTCGAAAGCTTTTTTTCAAAAACGCTTTGCCCTTTTTTAGCTATGACGTTCAGATACATTTCATTTTGTTGTATACGGGAGAGAAAACTAAGTCTAGTGCACTGTGTTTCATTGAAATCCTTTCAAGTAGCTCATTTTGCTACACGAAAATCCTACCCCATTTTTGAATATAAATGGCAGCCCCTGGAACAGCTATGCTGGGTGTAGTCACTGAAAAGCTTCTGTATTCACATAAAAAATCACTAAAGAACAGTTTTCTGGAAGAGTTCGTCTTTCATAGTGAGACTGTTTTGTTGAGAAAAGTGTGCAGCACAGAGGCAGACGCCCTGAAGACACCTACTTATATTTGAGGGCTTTTTGTTATGATAAGATGATGAGAGCGCCAGCAGAGGTCAGAGGCGTCTTGCAGTGCACCTGATGTGATCGATCGCCGCTGCTCAGGCTCACCATGCCTTCCATTCTTTGCGGGTCGGCTAATTGGTGCAGGACTCGTCTGGGAGCATGACAGCGCTGAACTGATACACCAGTAGACCACCACAATTAACTGCAAAGGTCAGGTATGCATTCAGTCACCTCCAACGACGCCAGACGAAGTCGAATGCATGACGCATCCCAAGAGTATTGATCAACGGCGAGAACTTTATCCTTTTTTTATTTTTAAAGTGTTGACACGTTAGGAAGAATTTTTCAAGTTTGATCTTTTACTGGAAAACACATGCACTTTTAATGTAACGAAAGTAGAACTCCTTCCTGAACTCATTTGTTTGGCGAATTTCTGTGCAAAGTTCTCATTAGAGATTGCCTATGTGTTCACCAGACACGTTTAAGTAACCAAGTGAAAAAAGCCATCTCTAGCGATGATGAAAAATGCAAAAGCCATCAACTGCAGATAAAATCCAAGAGAGCAGCTTTCTATAAACCTCGGCATAATAATCGACAAATCTGCATATATCTCCTCACGAACTGCCCTTTTTTAGCCGAAACGAAGTTGGTGTACATGTTCTTATTGTTGTTTTCTGTGCGTCGGCGACTTCGCTTCCTTCAGAGCCTTGACGAGGACCACTCTCGTGCCGTGTATGACATATGATCTCTTGTAATAAACACACGGGTGGTCTAACGGCAAGGCACTGAAGAAGCCGAAACACAACAACAACAATAAGATCATCTACATCAACCTTGCGTTCTGCTAAAAAGTCAGTTCTTTGAAACAAATATGGAGATATGATTACGTTCTTCCAGTTATCTTTGAATTCCTCCCAGCGGTTTACCGCCTCATCGCGGCTTAGAGGTGTTCGTAGGTATCAGGCTGCGATGTTCAACAGGAAGTTCATTACTCTAGCAAAGTATCTAAGTAATCGAGGATTATCTGTGAGCTGTAATACCATCTTGCCACCCCAATTCTCTTATGCAGAGAACTGCCCTGTATGTAGCTCCCAGTGGAACACATTCTTGGAGATTTTCTTTCTGTTTTCTTGCAGCTGCCG